AACTACTCTACCACATGTTGTAGCTGACTGAGAAGACGGGAGTGTTTATGTTAGAAAGGTACAAAATACATCAATAGCTTTGTGGTGAGAGAAGTGAACAGAGGAAGAATGACCCGGAGAGAACTGAGAGGCCATTTGTTCCTTCAGTGATCTGGAACACTGTCTAGGACATTGCCTTCCAGGAGAATTCTACTCAAGCCTCAAACCCTGATTAAGCAGAACACAAGACAGTGGACTTCATATTCCTGGGAAAGTCAATTCCATACTTGCTCAACACTGGGGTATCCTGAATTCACGGGCTGAAAGACTTACAAAAATGAAATGAGCTATTATAAATGCAAGATAGTAACTGAGCAAAAGAAGATTTCAGAAACACTGACAGCCTAGAAGTCAAAAACTATACATTTCTGTATTTTACAAGAAGGCAATCTTCAAACACAGATCAGTAACACTTTGTACCACTCAGTGATTTCCATTTGTTCTGAATTGGGCCAGACCCCAAACCCTGGTGCAGTGTCCAAGACTGATGAGGGTAAAGGTTAGGATTAGATCAAGATGGCTTTGAGCTTGGTTTGCTACTAATCAAATCTGTACACAACAGTTCTTGGGAAAATGTGAACCAAAAATATAATTGAATTTAATGATTTAAAACAGAAAGACTTTCCTGCTTCATCTGTTTTCATAGAGACGTGTCTAAAGTTGTTTGGTCTTAAGAGGCTCAACTTTGGAGATGGCCAACATTAGCAACCTAGGGTCTACCTCATCTTGTCACAAACACCATTTATCCAGCCAATTTATTTTATTACCATGTTGAGCTTACAGCTGGCTTGTATATCATCTGCAACAGCATTTCACAGGAACTCCCACGGTAGGCATTTGGCAGTGGTTAGCACATTGCTGAGTATGCCTTCCCCAAGTCCCATATTAGAGCGTTTCGGTTTGAGACCTAGCTCCCTTCCAAATTCCAGTTTCCTATTAGTATGCACCCTGAGAGTTAGCAGATCAAACTAAAGTATTTGAATACCTGTCACCCACAAGTGAAATTCAAATGCAAGTTCTAGGCCTCTGGCATTGACCTGACCCAGCTCAAGCTGTTTTGAACACTTGGGGAGATTAAACAGCATTTAAGAGATCTCTGTTTCTCTTTAACATGTTCTCAATGGCGTGAGGACTTCCACTAGGCCCCACCTCCTAATAGAGAAATTACTAGGCCTTTGAGGAACATTCAACATCTAAACCATATCATCTCATCTGCCTAAAACTGAAAATTATGATATACTCAAAGAGTAATTTCCAAATTCAGGCTGCAGGAGTGCTAGCTCATAGAACCTGTGTGATTTTAAACTTTCAAACACTTACACGCCAGAGTCTCAAAATCAAAAGCAATGGAACTCTAGAAATGACTTGAAAAATAAATGGACCTCTTCTGGAAGACTAAAACCGAAAATATACCTCTAGCACAAAGAAATTTAACTAAAAAAAAGAAAAAAACAAAGAAGTAGCTTCCCAAAAGAAACAGCTTAAAATGTGTGGGAAAACGAAATGACATAGACTTCCAGACTAGTTCATAGAGAACTACATTTTTACACAACTGTCAAAATACTTACATTGGACACCAGTGTGATGTTAACTCATAGAATAAGATTTTTAAAAACTGGGGAGGGCTGACTGCATCTTAGCAAAGCTGACAGTAAGTAACAGTTCTATTTATTCCACGTTTTCTTTTTAATCTCTTCCTCTGAAAAATGACCACATCTATTATAACCTATTGATGTAGGTCTAAACCAGAAATCAATATCATTTTCTGTAAAGTAGCAACTAGTAAACATTTTCAGCTTTGTGGACCATAAAATCTTTGTCTCAACCCTGCCTTTCTAGCATGAAAGGAGTTGTAGATGATAATAAGTGGATAAATGGTGGCTGCGTACCAATTAAACTTTACAAAAAAGGGCTAACTTGATTTGGCAGCCATAGGCTCTGGCTTGTTGCCCACTTGTATAGACACCAAAATATTACGGTAGTGTTGATATTTCTTGGGGATGCTATTGTATAGATCAGTGCTTGACAGACTCGAGGATGCAGATGGGGTTACAAACAGAATAGCACTCATGTCTTATCTTTGTAGACTATTATTTTACAATGATCAATGGAAGAATTTGGATATTCTTTTGTTTCCTGGCCAATGCCACTTCCAGCATGTTTAGAAATACTATGTATCTTCCCATTCTCTAAATATACTACAAGAAGAAAATACATTAACAATGATTCTCATGTGGCTTTATGGAAGCATAGCTGAGGAAAAATTAATTTTTAAACATTTTTTTATTTGAGGAAGAGAGAGAGGTGCATTCCCAAATGTTCATTCTCTAAATGCCCCCAATTGCTGGAAGCTGGGACAAAAGGGACTCAAAACTAAATATCCATATAGGCAGCAAGACCCTAATCACTTGAGTCATCCCCCTTACCTCCCAAGTTCTACATTAGTAGGAAGCTGGAGTCAGGTCCCAAAACTGAGAATTGAACTCAGGCACTCCAATGAGGGATGTGGGATTTTAACAGCTGGATTAAATTCCAGCTCATGAATAGCAATTTCAATTAAAAAAAATGAGTCGTAAGATGCAAGCATTTTTTCCTGAGATAAGAGGCCACAGTGTATTAATAATTGCAAACAATAATTTTCCCAATAAATTAAACTATTATTTAGTGTACACTTGTGTTCACATTTATTTCACTTAAGGTAGCCAGAAGCACACAGAAAAGATGAAAACAGAAAGAAATAAAAATGCATTGTTTTGAGCCCTGCGCAGCAGCCTAATGACTAAAGTCCTTGCCTTGCACTCACCGGGATTCCATATGGGCACTGGTTCATGGTGTCCTGGAGGCCCCACTTCTCATCGAGCTCCCTGCTTGTGGCCTGGGAAAGCAGTCAGGACAGCCCAAAGCCTTGGGACCCTGCACCCATGTGGAAGACCCAGAAGAGGTTCTGGGTTCCTGGATTCAGACTGGCTCAGCTCGGGCCATTGCAGCCACTGAGGGTAGTGAGTCAGTGGACAGAAGATCTTCATCTCTGTCACTCCACCTTTCTGTATATCTGACTTTTCAATAAAAATAAATAAATCTTTTTAAAAATGCATTGTCTTCAGAGATCTACATAGTGGGAGATTCCCTAAGTGACCGGTGTAGCCACTAAGCAAAATGCAATATTTGCTGATGCACAGAATGGATTCAACTATTTCCCATATGTCATATATTTCAGCCATAATTTTATACACAGTTATTACTGCATAGCTGTTAAAGTTGACTTACTTTAATGCAGGAGGACTTAGTATTTCTCCTTATAAAGCCATCTATTTGAGACAGTGATTCCTTTAAAAAAATTATTCATTTTTATTTGAAAGGTAGATTTTACAGAGAGAGGAGAGATAGAGATAAGGCACTCCATCTGCTGTTTGACTCCCCAAATGGCCGGAGCCGAGCCGATCTGAAGCTGAGAGCCAGGATTTTCTTCCAGGCCTCCCACGTGGGTGCAGGGTCCCAAGGACATGGGCCATCCTCTGCTGCTTTCCCAGGCCATAAAAGCAGAAGGCTGGATGGGAAGTGGAGCAGCTGGCGCCCATATGGGTTGCCAGCACCAGAGGGTTGAGGATTAGGCAGTTACCATGCAGGCCCCTAGGCAGTGATTTTTAAAGAAACAACACATGGGAGAATGAAAAACTATCTGGAGAGCTTACATTATCAGAAGTATGACATTCTGCCCAAGCAGTCATCTGTCCTTCTCCCAGAAAATGCCTCAGTAAACCATTACGATAAAAATACAGTTTATCAGTGTGCTACAACAGAAAAACAGGTTTTAAAAACTACTAATCAAAGGTAGCCAGATAGACAAATAATGTGGTAAGACAGGATGCATGCTTGTATGTACTACAAGCAGCAACACATTAGTAACTTCATTATAAAATCAAGGTCCAATGAGCACGTTGGACTGCCAGTTTATTTACTCAAATACGAAGGGTCTTCAAAAATGTCATAGAACTTTGCATGGATTTAAATTTTTTTTTTGCATTAAATAAACTTTCAAGTCCGTTTACTTCAACTTTGGAAGTCCCTTCATAATATGAATTATTGCCAGAAAATTCTGGCAAATAGGCCTCATGAGCTTTTTAGCATTCTGGGAGGGCAACTGGACTGTGACAGAAACACGTATACTTTGAATCAACCCAGTACGCTCTGTTCAGTTAAACCACTTACCAGTCCTCCCCAGCTTGTTTTGATTTGTTCAGCCCAGTTCTCTGTTCTCAAGGTAACTAGCAAGAGAAATGAAACAATTTTGCAAAAAACAAAAACTGGTATAAGCTAGGAAGTGGGAAGTTTCCCCAAGTAAAGAAAGAATGACAGTGACATTCTAAGCGGTAAGGAAGAACATCATGCAATTACAGCAGGCAAAGCTCCACTCATCCCCAGGCCTGTCTGTCAGCCGTTTACCTTAAAGTGAAAAGTTTTTATTGATGATTTGGGATGAATCAGTCACTGACATTTAGTGGTACTGGTATTGCATATGAGGCGCTAGCACTTTCAACATGTGATTTCAAACTTATTAAATGTAAGCTTTCTAGCTCTTGGAATCAATGATCGCTCAATTGGAACATCTTTCCCATTTTAGTAAAAATCATGTTGAGGGGGTAGAGGATAGGAATTGTTGCTCTGCACTGCTTAGACATGTGCTCTCTCGGTCATTTTCAGCTGTATGAGTCTGCTACCTATATACCACCACATGTATCCATATGGTGGACATTATTCAGGGCTTTGGAGGAAGGTTAGGGAGAACCTTCTTCCTTCACTAGGCGTTCCGGAAGCAGGTGAGGAGCTGAGATGGACATGTGATCCAAGTTCAAGCATACCTGCACACGCACACATGCACAAATTTACACAGGGTTTGCCTTGCAACTGTGAGGTTGGAAGTGGGGGAACTCAGTACCTGCTAAGCTACTTTCCACCCCAAGTGCCTGCATATCTGAGGCTGAGTTTGAAGCCTCCAGCGTGTTTGGAGTTAATTTCCCTTACGTTGGACTCCGCCCCTCTCTCCCAAAGGTAAAGCAAGGTTTTCAGTCATCTCTGCAAAGAGCAGCTGGGATTCCCATCCCCGACTGACAGGCTGTGAGAAGTTGTCCGGAGAGAGGGGACCAGTCAGTCAGCCTTCAGCGTCAGAAGGTAAATAAGCAACTTGGACCAAATGCAATTCAAGCAGCTGGCTAAGAGACTGCTTTGCTTTCCCCTTGTTCAGCCTCCCTCTCCCCTTTCCTTTTGCCTGCTTCCTGCCCTTTCATCTCAGAGCTCAGAGCTGTTTTCTTCCCAAGGGTAGCCTGGTGCATTTTTACTTCCTCACGGTTGTTTGCACAGAGACTAAAAGGACCCAGGGCTGGATTTCCAGTGCATATTGACCAGATTTCAGGACCCAAGGGTTAAGTGCTAATTGGTTTCCCCAGGGGAGATGGTAACCTGAGGAGAGGAAGTGCAAGTCTCTGCAAGGGGCAGGGAATTTTGTTCTAGCTTGTCTATACAAGCAGAAATGTATCCACTTTGCCGATGTGATTGGTTGGGTTTTCAGAAGTCCCAAGACTGAAATGGGTTGAAGAGCATAAACTGAAATGCAAATATGGAAATCAATCAGACAGAGAAAGAAAATATTGCATTTATTCAGTAAATGAGTCCTTTCTATGTAACTAAGTATGATGATCTTCAGAAAAACTTAGAACAGTTTAACTATAAACCCATCCTTGCAAACAACCCTCAGCCAATTGGTTCTATTTGGTGTTGGGAAACTGAAAACAGAAAGAAGCCAAGGAGTGAGGAGAAATCACCTGTAGAAAGGCTGTGGGGAGTGACGGCAGGTGAATGATGTTCTCTCTTACATAACTTCGTCTCCTCTATTATTTATGAGAAAATAGGGTTTTCTCCAGTGAATGGGTGAGGCTTGAGATCTGCTCTGATGTTAGGTACACCACACATGTTGCTCCACTTGAACTTGATGCTCTGTCATTTCCATGTTATACATGAAACTGAGACTCCAAGATTTGAAGTGATTTTTTTCCCTCAAGTTCACATCACATTTAACGGGGTAGACCTCAGGTTCCTGTCAGATATGATTCTAATATTTGAACTCTTTTCCAGCAAAATAGTATTCCTCAATAATGTTTTCATCCAGAATCAAGTAAAACAATTTAAAAAATTTCTACACATGTGTGTTCGCAGAGTCTGGAAGGGGAAAGGGTCAGAATCTGCAATCTGAACCAAAGTGATTCTGATGAAGGTGACTAGATCCCCTATTTGGAAGGACACGTTTGATAGGTCATGCTGCTTCCCAACTCTTCTGAACTGATCGGAAAACCATTCAAAGCCCCTTATTGACACATGGACCAGATTCACTCCATGTAGGTAGCTGTGGTGGCATTTTATTTCCAGGTAAGGACAATGACTACAGGGCACAAGTGACAGGTCTGGGTCTATGAACTTAAAGGAATGTGGAAGAATGGCTTACCAGTTGGTTATAGCACTTCCAGTGTTTTGCTAAGGTATGTGGTATGACAATTTCTAATCCATTGAAGGTGTAAGACAGGACTGCTAGATGACCAATTAGTCATGGGAGGAGGTGGTGGAACCTGTCCAGGCAGTTGGAACTAGAGATTTCTAATTGGTAAGATATATGATGACAGATGAGGAGCTCAGTGTGGGTAGGAGTGAGAAATCCATGTGAAATTCAGGAAAATCTTTCAAGTTTCCATTTTTCCTACTGTGAACTCTGCAAAACGGTACATCTAATATAGATTTTTTTTCTTTTTTATTTTTAAATATGAGTTCTCTCTGGTCTCTTCATGGCAATTCTATTTAGCGTGGATTTTCTATATTTTTGACTGCTCAGTTAGTGCTCCCTCTTCAATTAGTGTCTGGCTTTTGTGCCTTTTAATGACTTACCTGCTTATGAAAATATCCAACTGAGTATGGAGAGATGCCAAGAAACTGATAGACTAAGCTAACACAGCCCAGTTTATTAGTCTTTCAATCTTAGGCTAAAAGAGGAGGGAATGAAAACAAAAGCATAGAAAGTGATTCAGCAAACCTGAAAGCTGAAAATTTGGCAAAAAAACAAACAAACAAACAAAAAAAACCAAAAAAAAAAACCCTTAGGTCACAAGTGAAGTTTCATTAGAGCTACTGAGATACAAATGGAAATGCGTAAGTAGATGATTTCAGACACAAAAAAATCCACAGGAACTCTCATCAGGGGAATACTCCAAAGAGGAGGAAGTTTCTGGTGGCAGAAAATAAGGAGAGAAATATTTGGAACATGACAAATTTCTTCTGATTTTCTATCTGAAACAGAAAGATCTAGAATGTTCAGTTTGCTTATATATTTAATTAGATACAAGGAATCATATTGGTCAAAGGCACTTCTGTGGATGAGACATCTATTTATTTGTGAAAAACCCATGAAAACTTCAAAATGTTCATGGAGAATAAAACTAAAAGGTAAGGTTTTGGGGTGCAAAAGCTTTTTAAATACCTGCATTTCCATAAACCTTTTGAAGAGCCCTCATACGCAAGATTTTAAGTGTTTTGCATTACAAATAAACTTATCTTTTAATTCGATTTGTCACGAGCTTTACAGAGTTTCCTGTGGGCCTGCTTTTCTTACTCATATCCTAGTAGGAAAACATCAATGTTGAGAAAGAGGTGTCTTTTAAAAAATTATTTAGGTATTTTTATTTTTAAAGATTTTTTAATCTGATAGGCCGACTTACAGAGAGGAGAGACAGAGACAACGAGAGTGAGAAAGTGAAAGAGGGAGAGATCTTGCATCTTTTGGTTCAGTTCCCAAATGGCCACGAGGGCTACAGACAAAATGATTCAATCTGAAGCTGGGAGACAGGAGCTTCTGGCTCTCCCACTTGAGTGCAAGGGCCCAAATACTTGAGCCATCCTCCGCTGCTTTCCCAGGCCATAGGCAGGGAGCTGTATGGAGTTGTAGAGCAGCCAGAACTAGAACGGCAGGAGCCAGCACTGCAGGTGGAGAATTAGGTTTTTAAGCCAGCATCCCATATGGGCACCCTTTCGTTAGGTGGTGCATTTTTTTTTCTCTAAAGTTAAACTTCAAGGTCAAATAGGAACAAAAGTATTTGCATGTCCTTTTCTGTGTGCACTGTGGAGGAGATGCAGTAGAAGGAGGAACTGGTTTGGTTTTCTACTCCAAGGCAGGAGTTAAGGGCAGAGTTAGTCTCTTTGATACTATTAGTGTCCACAGAGGAATCGGTACTGAGAAAGTGGAAAAGTGAGAACAAATGATTACAAGCTTGGAGAATAGCTACAACAGGGAGAGAGAGGGCTCAGTTTGGGAATAGAAACACAAAGGTGACCCAAGAGCTGTCTGAATTGATGAAGAACTCTTATCCGGAGGATGGTCAGCTGTTCTTCGTTCCCTATAAAGACCCAACAAAAGGAACTGGCTTCAGGTTGCAGAAGAAAAGATTTATAAAGGCCCATAACAAATGATTTATTGACAGTGAGAGTTGTTAAGCTACTGAGGAAAACTGTGTTCTTCCCTTTTCTCTAGGGTCCTGTAAAAGTAGTAGAGATAACTACCTGACATACAGGGCTTAGGTGAGTTTCCTGTGTCAGAAAGGTTGAGGGGACTTCTACCCAAGAGGCTGTGCTAGAATGCAACACATCTCTAAAGATTAACGGACGTCAAACTGTAGGAAGCACAGTCACTGGATCTCATTCTCAACCACACTAGTTATCACAACTTTCTGGCAACACTGTGCTTCATACAGCCACTTTCAGAAACAGGCACACAATCCCATTCAGCAGACAGAGAAACTGAATAATGAGAGACAACATAGCATTTAAACAAAATAGAGATTCTACTACAGTCATATTAATGCCTGGCTGCTATATCATTCAGCAGGGCTGCCAGAGTCAATTCTTGGTTCTTAAATCCTGAGTGGATGTGTGGCTAGACATTTCAGGAGAGACAGTGAATGCTATTGCAATACATGAAACATGCAGAAGAAACCAAGATAGAACGCACTACAGCATTGTTTGTGGTTTTTATTGGCGTGAATCCAAAGTGAGTTAGCCAGTTTCTGGAAACAAACTGAGATTGCTTTGGAGGACTACCATAAAGGAGATCACTCCATTTCAGGAGATGCAACCAAATGCATTTGCTAGAATGCTCTTTGCTGTCTAGCACATTTAACATGCACTGCTGTGCACACTAGACTCCATACACCCCTATGCCTCCCTATCCAAGAGTGGAAAAAACTAAACTAAGACTCCTGTAGTCAGAAAATATGGAGCAAGTTAAACTGCAAGATCTCTTCCTTGACTGTATAACATCAAGTCTATGATTCAGGAAGCTGGATATTCAACGTGTATGGGCTTTGTCTTGCAATGTGTAGTTCCATGATCATTTTCAATTTGATATTACAAAGGACCTTCAAAAGATTCATGGAAAATGAGCATGATGAAAAAGTTATGCATTAGTCTCACAATTTTTTGTATCAAAATAAGTTTTTCAGTCATTTTTTCCCATGAACTTTTTGACATCTTCTATTGAGTCCCAGAGGGAGAACAAGACATAATTATCTGTGGCAGTGATTCTCAACCTGCTAGTCAAAATGATTGGCTCTCAGTATCTCTAGTTCTAAAGAGGATGAACACCTCATCCACGGTTGTTTGGGATTGTTCTGGTTTCATCATCTAGTTTTCCACACCCCAGGAAACCCCTGAGCCCCAAGCAAACTGACAGAGTTGGCCACCGTTTTCCTAAATGAAAGCAAGGCAATGCATTTCCACTAAGGTTGAAAGTACTTAACCTCAACTCTGAAGGGTGAGTTTTCTTAAAGCAAAACATTCCAACTGAATTTTGAGATTTTGTCTTCCTCAATCTTGGTTTCAGAATGCCACTTTGGAAATGAGATCATGGCAGCAACGTTTTGCAGTATTGTAGGAAGAGCTATATTTATCCAAGTTGAAGACAACTTTCTAGCAAAACCTCTCCCCTTATTTCTACTACAGACTGGGTACTACTCCCTGGTATGGGTTCTGTGTTCCTCCCTATTGGCTGTTATACTGAGATTTTAGATCTTAGGGTTATGATGTCCCTGAGGGACATGCAAACTTAGTTGTGTGAACTTGAAACAGTTAACACTCTTAATTTTACTAGTTTATACCCTATATCTGCGGATACTGACCTTCCTCATATCTCCCCTACATCCCCCTGGTTGGAGTTCTTTCTTCATTCTGGAACATTTGTTTTGAAATTCTGAGTGGGAAAGCAGGGAGGCCTTCTATTATAATAGTGTCAGGACAGGCTAATATTGTGGGATAGGCTACAGATAAAGGAGAGGGAAAATATGGTTTCGCCCTTTAGTTCCTTTGGCTTCCTGATTCTCACTTTTTGCATTTGCAAATGGAGGTTAATACCTTTGTTACTACCCTAAGGACATTTCTGGGCAGAGTTCAAGAAATGATAGATTGTGAAGGAATTGTGATGATGCAGCCGGCAGCTGTTTATCAGCTTGTTTCCTCTCCTCCCTTGGCCTGGGCTTCTTCATCAGGAAATGAGTCCAGCACAGAGGGCTCTTTTGGTAATCTTACCAACACTCACATAACAAGCAAAGGTATTACCTCATTGTGGCCAAGCATACCTGCTTTCTAACAGCCATCACTCAAAACTCATTCCATCTCCCCTCCTCCCCCCTTCAGTCCCTCATCACATTTTTCTCTCATTTTCCCCACTCTCAGGCACAAAGCCTCAATCCCAGGGGCCCAGCTCAGGGCACTTTCTTCCCAAACCCTAACATTCCAAAGTAAGCACCTGCAATTTACAGTCTCCACTCCCTTCCTGCCCAAAGCACAAAGCACAAAAATACATATGGACCCAGAGTGGGGAATTGTGGTGGAGTGAAAAAAGAGCATTATACTAAGAATCAAATAACTGTGCTCTGGTCTGGCCATTGTATCTCACTAGCCTTACTCTTGGGTAAATCATTTCCTCTTCATATTCCCATCTGTGAAGTGATGGGTGGGGGGAGTGGGGGCTGTTAGCATTGTGTGGTAGAAGAGTACTGCTTTAGGAAGCTGCAGATCGGGTTTCTGGCCCCAGTGTTGCTGCTTGCTTGCTAACTTAGAACTCGGGGGAAATCACTGCCACTTTTACTGAAGCGAACTGCCATTTGTAAAAGAAGTAGGCTGAATTAGATGATTCATTAAGGTTCCTTCCAGTCTGGAAATTGGATGATTCTATGAAAAACAGTTTCATCGAAAAAGAAAAAAAAAGCATAGATTGCAGTGCCTAATCTGTGCCAGGCATGATTTGATGATAACTGTGAAGTCGTTGGGATGCTGAGACCCTGAATATGTCTGGAGCTTGCCTACTGTCAGTGTCCCAAATTGGCAATATGGAGACCCCAAATAACCAGTTACTGCATCCCTCCCTGAAGCCACCACCTATAACATAAATGATGGCGATGAATCATGGAGAAGTTTCCAAAATGTACTCCACCATCTGTCTGCTGGAGATATTCACAGTTCTGTCATCAAGCTGCAGTGTGGTCTCTAGCTGCCTGAATGGAGAAGCACGCCAGAAAGCAATGGCAGATTAATGGAGTCAGGAGGGAAGTGGTTGATTGATTTTTGACAGAAGGGTCTGTGAAAGCCATTTATGAGCTGGGCCGAAGAGACTAGGTCTGGAAAGACTTTCAGTGCTTGGAGATTATTTTTTGAAAAGGAACTTTGACAAGTCTTTACAGCTGTATGTTCCTGCTGCAAGGCACCAAGTCCCTGATCCTGATGTATTTCAGAGAGATGAAAAGCTTTTTTGACTGGATTCTGCAAAGGCCATGGCCATTTTTCTTAGCAGCTAATCTAGAGTTAACTCCCAATAGTTGGAAAGTTGCCTTCCAGTTTGATGGTGGAAAAAATAAATGAACCGAGCTCTCTCAATAATAGTTATAGGGTATGATAGAACCGGGCTGCCCATCTTTCATCCCACCCATTTCAATCTGGCTGCTATGTTCCAGCGTAAAGCTTGCATGAGCACATATTCTGCCTAAGTCAAATGGGAACATCATGTAACTCCATGGAATGTTCTGTTCTTCTTTGACTCTTTAAAAAAGAGGTCTTCAAAAGGTTCACAGAAAGTATGTTTTATGAGGAGAAAAACAACCTGTGCATAGATTTTAAATTGATTGCATCAAAATAAAATTTTAATTCCATTTTTTTCTATGAATATTTTGGAAGTTCTCTCATAGTTACTGGCAGGCCTGTGAACTTTCTTCCTTCATTCTTCACTCTCTGGAAACAATTTTATTCATGACCCGCTGACACATCACCTGCTTCCTGGCCTGCAGGCAGGCAAGGTCATTCAGCTGGCAGCATGAGGGCCATTGCACCCTTGTTCTCTCCCTTTCTGCTACATGTTCTGTTGTTGTATGTCAAGAGTTACAGTATGTTTGATCAGGCTGCATCTGCATTATTGTAACAGTAAGTAATTCAGTTCTGTGGTTCTTTCCTTGCAGCCTAGATACCACAAAACTCTGAATCAGGCAGAAGGAAGGGAATATGGGGAAAATACTGGAAAGCAGAGTTCCTCAGGGATCCAAATAATCTTCTCTGGAAGCAAGAACGAGCTGGCACATCAGTGAATCCCAGGATTGGCCAATGAGGAGGGAATAGACTGGTGGAGCCTACATGGTAACTTTCTGCATTTGGTGCCGTGACCCCATTTGGATCCCCATTCCTGCAGAGAAAGCTGAGAACATGAGGAGCAGCCTGACCCTGGTGGGGACCCTCTGGGCCTTCCTGTCTCTTGTGACTGCTGTGGCCAGTTCTACCAGTTACTTCCTGCCTTACTGGCTCTTTGGCTCTCAGCTGGGGAAGCAAGTGTCTTTCAGCACATTCCGGAGATGCAACTACCCTGTGCGGGGAGAAGGACACAGTCTGATCATGGTGGAAGAGTGTGGGCGTTATGCCAGCTTCAGTGCCATCCCAAGCCTGGCCTGGCAGATGTGCACAGTGGTAACAGGTGCCGGCTGTGCTCTGCTACTCCTGGTGGCACTGGCTGCTGTCCTGGGTTGCTGCATGGAGGAACTCATCTCCAGAATGATGGGTCGTTGCATGGGAGCAGCACAGTTTGTGGGAGGTAAGACTGTGTCTTTGAGACTGGGTAGGCTTGAGGAATTTGAGGTACAGAGAAGGCAGAGTGTGTCTTTGTGGAGAAATCATTTTCACCTTCTCTAGTTTGTCTACCTCTAAAGCTATGCATGGTGACCCCTTTGTAATAGGTAGTGTAGGACTTCCCCATCTGCATTACTGTTTTATTTATGGCAATTTGGAAAGTAAGTAGAGTTTGTATCTCCGCCTTTTAAGGTTTATTTGTGTTGTAAAGTCATATTTACACAAGGAGTGACAGAGAGGGAAACATCTTCCATCCATTGGTTTACTCCCCAAATGGCTACAACTGCTGAAGCTAAGCCAATCTGAAGTGAAGAGTTTCTTCTAGGTCCCTTATGTGGGTGCAGGGACCCAAGGATTTGGGCCACTCTCTACTGCCTTCCCAGGCCATAAGCATAGAACTGGATCAGGAGTAGAGCGGCTGGGACACAAACTGAAACCCATATGGAATGCTGGTGCTTGAAGATAGAGGATTAGCCTGTTGAGCCACAGCACCAGCACCAGCCCCTAGAGTTGATAGCTGTTGCTTAGCCTCTATTTTCATCATCTTTCTCTGACTTCAGGATTTTCACTTAATCATATTCTTCAGATCTGCATTTCCAGGGAGAGCAACACATACCATCATATTGCTGCCCCAATTTAAGAGTTCTGGTTTCTGTTGGTTATCTCAGAGAACAGCAATCTTCTAAACACATGCACACATGTACTGACTGCTCACAGTCCTCACCAACTAAATACATCTCTAACAATGAAATGCTATATATCAGACAGAATGTTGGGGACAGCTTGTTTGGGTTACACTTAAGGCTAGCCCTACTTGGCCTGATTTCTGAAGGCCCTAATCCAATTTACCTGTCACTTCCTCCATTTAAGTTTCCCCTAACTTTATTGAAGAGATACTAGGATGTTGGCAGTGTTATGGAGCGGCAAGAAATGAACCAAAGGCAAAAACGACAAACTCAGAAAGGCAATGGGAGTTTATTTTGAAGTGGGAAGTTAAAAAAAAAAACCAAATTGAGACAGAGGGGAAAATATGTGTATGAATGTTTCAGCTCTTTTGTATACCTGGATGGGGCAGTCAGAAAAAGTACAGGTAGAACCCATTGCTGAAAATGGTTGTTACTGGTCAGTTTTAGAATCATTATTCATTATACAATTTGCTATCACTGTTATCTCCATTCACGGCACAGTGTGGGCGACTAGAGCCGAGGAACTTGGATTCCACTTCTTGTTCTTTCACTGAGTTGCTTTGTGGCAATGTGATTTCTCCATGCTTCATTTCCCTTGGATTTGTCCCCTGGCAATGTAGCCCAAATCTGATTTTTCTTTGCAACTACTTCATCAAGGAGGTCTTGGGGTGAGACGTCAGTGATGAGCGTAGGTAGCACTTCTCAGTGGGGGCTGATTTTCAGTCTCTCCCCCAGAGGACACTTGGCAATGTCTGGAGACATTTTCGGTTATTACTGGTTACGGAGAGTGCTACTGACATCCAGTGGGTATAGGCAAGTAATGCTACTAAACATCCTACAATGCACCTGACTCCAGCAAGGATGTCCAAAATATCAGTAGTGGCATGTTGGAGAAATCCTGCGCTAAGGTGCCATGGTTTCTCAGATTGCTCATTAAAATTACCAGATTCTTTTGGTTGTGCCAGTTAAAGTGATGCTTTCTAGTTTTTCTTCACACAGTAAAATTTTAAAATCTGAGTTACCATCATAGCTTCCCTCATCTCTGAATTTTCCTACTCTTTAGCAATGGATAGCTCTTTGATCACATTGAAAAGTAAAATTAGGTAACTTCTTATTTCCATTTTAGAAACATGGGACCAAATTCAATGATTCTATCTCCCTCATGGAGCTGTGTGGCAATCACCAGTCAGTCTTAGGCTAACTTTTCACCTGCATCTGTGAGTATGCTATAGTAAATTCAGCACTCCTACAGGCACATCATTGCACAAAATGACATGTGACTGGCAGGAGATAGGATCCCCAGAGCTCAGCGCAGTGCCTGCACAGAGCAAGTGCTCAGTAAGCGTAGAAAGTGAATGCATGATTAGGGTAATATCTCGTATAAGCTGGGATAAGTTGGAGAGATAAGACCTAGGTTAGTTTACATGCTTACCTTTTATTTTCAGACTTCAATGCCAGACCTATTTGCATCCTGAGTTCTCTTCTCTTCTCATAAGAGAATGAAAACTTAACCTCATTTGCGTTTCTGAGTTCTCAGCGCAAAATGAAGGAGGTTAACTGGCAGAAATCAGGTCTGTAGCAACAGTCTCCATCAGACTCCACGCCTCAACAGTGACCTTCAATACTGCCTAACATCACCCCTGGGGCTTTACTGACATTGACAAAAGTCTCTTCGTTTCCATGTGATGCTCTTTAGGTGGCATCATCTCCTAAGGCACGGTACTTAAAGAAAATCATTGAGAAGGGATGTAGAAAGATATTTGGAGATTTGAACACTGATAGAGTGAGTGAAACAGAAGTGTCACTGAGTGGTTAGTGTCATAAAAAGGATGTCAAACTACAATATCATTTTTGTATCATGTAATTCTGCCAATGTGTTTTGGTTATAGGACCACAGTTACAGCATTCATGTTTACTCAGGAGTCTTTAAAGTTCAAGAACATGCAAATAGCTCAGGAAACTCAGCAACAGCTAACCAATCCTGTAAAGAAAAGGGGATGGTGCTATGGTACAGTGAGCTAAGCTACCACCAGTTATGCTGGCATCCCATATCAGAGCACCTCGTTGAGCACTGGTTGCTCTGCTTTCAATCCAGTGCCCTGCTAACGCTCCTGGGAAAGCATCTGAGGATGTTTCGAGTTCCTGGGCCCTTGCCAGCCATGCAGAAGGCCTGGATGAATTTCATGGCTCCTAGTTTTGTCCTGGACTAACCAAGGTCATTGTTGCCATTTGAGTGCACCACTGGATGGAAGGTCTCTCTCTCTCTCTCTCTCTCCCTCTCTCCTTCTCTCGCTCTCTTTCCCCCTTTAAAATAAATAAATAAATCTAAAAGAAATTATGAAAGGATGTGAACAGATATTTTTAAGGAATAAATACAAATGACTAATAGATGCATGAAAAATATGTTCAGGGTCACTAACTCTAACAGAAATGCAAATAAAACCATAATGAGATATTATCTCACCCCAGTTATATAATGGATATTATCCAAAAATCAAAAAATAACAAATGCTAACAAGGATCCAGAGGAAAGGGTACTCTTATACACTGTTGATGAAAATGCAAATTAGTATAGCGATTATAGAAAATGGTATGGAGATTCCTTAAAAACACACACACACACACACACACACACACACACACACACACACACCCAAAGGATAAATGTTCTACTTCTGGGAATATATCCAAAGGAAGTGAAGTCAGCATATAATAGAGTTACCTGTACTCACATGTTTTTAGCAACTCAATTTACAATGGCAGAGATACAGAATCAACCCAGATATCCATCAAGTGATTCCTGGGAAGAAAATGTGGTGTTAAACCTGATGGAATAGCATTCGGCTATAAAATAAGAATGAAATCTTGACATTTGCAACAAAATGGATTGAAGTAGATATCATTATGCTAAATGAAATAAGCCAGATATGAAAAGATAAATATCATGCTTTGACTTACATGTGGAAGTTAATATGTAAAGAGTATAAAAATTGTGTGGATGTCACATTATTTGATATATAGATAGTCATAAATATTTTCCTCATGGATTTATGTCATCTACCTGACAGTACGCCTCCCTTCCCCCTCACTTCATGATAATTGTGAATCCCACATTTTTATAATGTTAGTATATCTGTTCTTAAGGAAAAACTAGCGTATATGTGTATGTATATGGTATATACATTTGCAATGAATGGGAAAATGTTAAAACACTTAAACCTTAAATCTTTAAAATGTTTCTAGAAGCACAAAGGAAAAAAAAAGAAATATTACACTGCACCCATAAATATGTACAGTTACTGCTAATAAAATATTTTAATAAAAATAGAATTCAAGAATAAAGAGCCTTTGGACAGCAATCATAGAAAAGTTCCAGACCCAGGGTGTGCTACCATGTTTATCCTTGGGCAAGAGAAACACACTGGGAGAGATGGCTGGGCCATGCAAGTTTCTCCGCTGTGACAGCACACAACCAAGAGCCTCACATTTCTCCTTCTTAGAGACTGTTGGCTGCCAAGGTTATATCAGCTCTAAAGGAAGGGTGAAGATTTCTTGCAAACACCACATTTCCTAGGATTCCCCTTGGCAATGCTCATAACCAACGGATGCTTGGAGATCTTGGGGCTGATCCTCAGAGATAGGCTTTGCCAGTGGCAGAGAGCCAAGCCTGGATATTTCAACTCCTTGGATGAAAGATGCAAGACAAAGAGCTGTGGGGGTTAAGTATAAGCCTGTTGTTCAGCTGAGGGGAATTGATTATACTGCTCCAGGCCTGGCTGCTTCTCAGCAGCCAGTGCATTAAGCGAAATACATCAGGGGAGGAGCCAATTTGTTTCAGGTCTGGATTATTTCTGCCAGACCCCAAACCACTGAAGAGATGGAGTATCCATTAAGAACCACCTCCTCCCCCGGCCTGACGCTTGTTTGCCGGTCTGGCGGCTGCCCGCAGAGATGAGTGGAGGGAAGTGGGAGAGACAGGAAGAAATAAAGAGCTGTTGGCCTGAGTCATACTCAGCAAGGTGACCTGATGGGACTCTCGGGGCCCATTTGCTCCACCTGCAGCTGATCCAACTGGACAAGCCTCGGGTCTAGGGAGCCTTCCACTGGGACCTAGTGCCCTGCTCCAACCGGTGAGGAAACATCTGGTCAGGAGATTATTTCAACCCTGGGGATGCTGAGGTTTCCAAACAGCTGGCCCCTGGGCCCTGAGAACATGGCCATTATTTACGTTCCCTTGTGTATACATGTGCAAGATACTTGTGAATAATCCCCATCTTCA